ACAGACACAAAAAAAAAAATAAAAAAAAAAAACACATCATAGTAAAATTAATACCTTCTCAGCTTCGCATCGAAGCTAAAAATTCATACATCCCGATGATGTTAATCGTAATGTTGATAATCTGTTCTAAAGTGTAATATTATATTATCACGGGACGGCCTAAAAAACCGACCATCCGTCAACGGCTTCCAATAAATTCCAAAAAGTCATAGAAAATTATAATACGTATTAATATGATTTGGTGGGGATATATTATATCTATACCATATATTATTTACAGGTACCATTTATTAAGATATTAAAAAAAAATGAATTAAATAGGAATTTATTTATTTTTCAAATGATAAGTAAAAGAACTATTTCCTCTCCAAAAGAAAAGAAAAAAGACAAATAAATTTTTCTATTTGTAAACAAGAAACGGAACTAATTTTATTTTTTTAAGGAATGTGCCGAACACTACAGACAATATATACACATATAAGCATTAATATATTGAATAATTAAATACTATTATATTAATTTTTATAATAAAAAAATATATGTCAAATAAAATTTAACAAATTTTACAGTCAAATATTTTTATAAAAGTATAAATAATTTTTAAGAACAAAACTGACCACGTAAAATGCTAATTTGAGTACTTAAGTTTTGGTCAAATTAGTTGTATCATATTATACATGAAAAGCAACAATAATTCCACTAAGTAAGATTACTTACAAAAAAATATAATCAATTGATTATATTTAAGGATTTTTCTTTTTACATGAGTAAAAATTACTATAATTAATAATAATTCATAATTAAAAGTAGTGTTTTTATACTCTAATTAACTTCAAATTGGTCATGGGCTGAATTATTATGATTATAAATTAAGTTTTTCATGAGTTAAGATAAACAATTGTACCATTCTGTTTTAAGTAACATTATTAGTCAAGATTTTATAATATATTAATTTCTTACAATTATTTTTAGTAAACTACAATTATATGAGTTTAAATTAAAAAATGGTATATTTATGCATAACATTCAAATAAAAAATGTTATGTCGCTTTAATAATTTAAGATTTACTTGATGTAGCAGCTAACATCTGACTAATCATTTCTCGAACTCTATGTTGTTCTTCAAGTTGCTTACGTAAATCAATTATGTCTTTATCTTTTTCTGAGATACTGAACTCCATATTATTAATTATTGACTTTTTACTATCAATTTCCTAAAAAATGTTTTAATTGTGCAAAAGAGATTAGATATTAATTTTAAAATCTTTCATAAATATAAATTTCTTTAATAATTGAAGTTTAAGAAAATTTTTTTAAGTAGTAGATCACAAATGATAAAGATTTATTTTTTATTAAAAGTATTAATATATATATATTAACATTTTATTGCATTAAAAATATTTAGATGATTCACCTAGAAGGACATAGTAATAAAATTAATGAATTTAAATTAAGTCATGTAGTCTTTACTGAAAATATAAAAATGTTTTTTCCTAATACATTCCCACAAAAAGATAATAAAGGTTAATTCTTTAAACAATCATAATGAATTGTATTAACATAGGAATAATTTGAACAAAATTTTTGGGGTTTAACTTCTCCCCTTCTTAAAAATATTTCTATATAAATTAACATATTATTTTGTAAGGAGACTGCAATAAAATTAAAGGGGATAAGTCTTTTTGAGATCCCTCAAATTGAGTTATGTGTATAAATATATACAATACTATACAAAATTCATCATTTAATATTTTTAAACATTGGTAACTCATTCACTGTAATCTTTCTTTATCAACACTGAATATTTATATCATAAATCAATACTACTAATAAAATTGTAACATTAATAAATTTGTAAATTAAATTTACTTGTGCTCTCTTACAAAAAAATAATACAAATAAGAGTAAATAGTAGTATGTATTCTTACTTCAATTTTTTCATTGATAATAAATTGTTTTTCTGTTAGTTGTTGTTCAAGTTTAGAAATTTGTTTTCTTGTTTCTAATAAAAATATCATTGTATCACACAAAAGAAAAATGTAATCCTTTATTTTAGTTATTTTATACCTAATTTTTCATTTTGCAATTGATTCAACAGATCTTTTTGCATTCTATTACTTTCTTCATTTAAGTCTTCTAATTGCTTCTCATATTTTTTTATTAAGTCATTCTGTTCTTTTATCACTGTACGTTTTGATTCATAATTTTGAGATAGCTTAAATAAAATAAAAATTAACTTGAAAAAACAATAAACAAGCATATAATAAATACTGTAATAACCTTGGCATAGTTATTGTTGGCATTAGTAAGTTGTTCAGAAACTTTATTATAATTATTTTTCAATTCATCGTTTTCCATAGTTAATGTATCAATTGATTGATTACATTCTAATAAAAATTGGTGTAAGTGGATAGATTCATTATGTAAGCTCATTATTTTATGGTTTAAATGAGTTATTTCAGTAGACGCATTTTCTATACTATGTTTTAACCAACTTTCTGATTGTAATACCAAACTTAATTTAGTTTGATACATCTTGATAACATTGGTTGTACTTATATTTTGAATCTATAAATTAATTTAAAATTTTTAATTAAATTAGTACTGTCTCATTTAACTTAATTTTATTACTGTATTTTTAATATTTATTTTAAAAATAATAAATAAATTTCAATATACAGTAACCTACTTTATCATGCTTAAACAAATTATCTAATTGATTTAAATACATTTGAATTTGGTTTTCTTGATTAAAAGAACACAATGGCTTTAGTTCAATTTCTTTTGATTGACTTAGATTTAGTTGTTTAGATGGTATCTGATTTAACTCTTCTAAACATTCTGACAACAATTTTGTACTGATAGAAAAAATATCTTATGAAATAATAAATAAATGTACAAATATGTTTAAAGAATTTATTATACCTTTGCTGAGAAAATTTAGTAATTAGATCTAAAACTTTTTGTTTCATTTTTTTTGATCCATTGTATAAAATATATGCTATTATATAATAGACATTTTTTTGATTTAAAACTTCGGAATACAAACACATCCATTTAGGGTTTTTATTTACTAAATCTGATAAAAAACATAGTGCTTCAACAAATGCAATATTGACATTTTGTAAGTTACACGGATTTTTGACATCCACCAGCATCAATGAATGAAATAGTAATTGTAATGACTACAAAAGAAAATTTTACTAGGATATTATATCATTTTCATAATGACTCAGTAATTTTAAAGACTGAATATTGTTTTTTACAGTGTAATCAAGTTTATCTTCAATTTTTTCATATAAATTATGGAGTTTTAACATTTCTTGTAAAAGTTTAAAGCATGCTGTATAATTTCCCCAATCTATATTATTAATTTCATAATTATTGTGTTCAAACAAACCGAAAAGAACCTTGAAAATATTACAATTAAAAAAGCATATAGATTAGCAATACTTTTATACACATACATTTTTAATTAATAAACAGTATTTCAAATAATTACATTTAAGCTTTCTTCTAATTTAAAATTTATAGCATTTTGAAGATTTTGTTCTAGAGAATTATTATGATTTCGTATATCATATGTAATACTTTGCAAAATTGGTAATGTAAACGTACAAAGTTCATTATATTGTGCCCAATATATGACATTTGATAGAATCTCAGGATATAATGTCTTTGAAACTATTGATTTTAATTGAATAACATATTCAATGAATTGCAATACTAAACCAACACATTGAAATGTAGAGTTATATCCAGGTTGAACACTATCATTTTCCAAAATATTCATAATATTTAGTATACTTCTTAATTTAATTTCATAACTAAAATAATGTAAAACAAATACTAAAATGTTAAAAATAGTATATAAAAATAAGAGTTAATTTGTTGTTAATGTAAAATATTTTCTTATACAGCATTTATTACTTAGTATACAACAAAACTGAGTCTTTCCAATGTGAATGATCACAAATATCAACAAAAAAATCGACAACATGTCGTAAAACACACACATTTTTTTGTTTAAAGCCTTCTTCTAAAACAGCAAATGTAACATCAATAAAATGATTGACATCAACATGTGGAATTTGCGCTGATACTTGCTCTAGGACCAATAATAATTTATATACTTGAACTTTTATAAATATATTATGGGATTGTATTTTTAATAGCAAGCGCATAAAAGACTTAGAATCTGTGCACTTAATAAGTGTAAGTGTTGCAAGTTTATTTTTACAACAGACATTAACTAAAACTCCAAGGGAAAATGAAACAATATCATTATTGTTATTTGATATCCATTTCACTAATATATCAATTAATTCTGGTAAGTAGCTCTCTTGCCATTGTGTTTTTACACCATAAGTTAATTCCTTAAACAAACAGTAAAAAATAATAAATTAGAGTAAAAACTTTAAGTGTTGTAAAAACGGTTTAAATAAATATAAAAACTAATTATCTAAAATAAATTTCATTTAAATAGTTGTTATATTATTAGTATTTTATGATATATGTTAAATATTAGTTAGATAACTATTTATACTTTAGGTAGTATTAAATTATAAATTATTTAATAACAAATTACCTGAAGTAGTTTAAGAACTTTGATTTTCCTATCCGGTGATAAATCATCTTTGAGTATTTTTGCCAAAATTAGGGCAAAATTATATTTATGTACTAGAGTACTATTTGTATATCCTTGTTTGATGACTACATGTAAAACATTAATGGCAGCCCACATAATTTCTGAATTACCATCAAGTTTATACATTAGTTCATACAAATTAATAAAAAACTCATGCTCAAATAAATCAACTGATTTTAGTATAAATTGATCAGAAGGCTGTCCGAGTATCTAGCAAATAGGTTTTATAAAATGTATTTAATTTCATTTGAAATAAGTTATATTAAGTACCTTTAAAGAACATAAAAGTGCATATGATGATGAATCATCCTGAAAATTTGAATATTTTTTAGAAGCTAAAATAAAATTTTTAATATGGCTTTGAAATGAAGATGCAGTTGTGAAATCCATTTTAGAATCACTAAAAAAATCAGTACATAAAATATTCAACACTAATAAAACAAGGAAACAAAACAATAAATACCTTATTGCTGATATTAACTTAGAATAATACTGTAATTAAATTGCACCTGAAAATTTCATTGAATAATTAAGAGATCACTACATATAAAATGTACAATACATATTTTAAAAATAATTAAAAAGGATAATTGGACAGAAGTAAAGAAAAATTATAACTATTAAATTAATTTTTTGCAAAAACTCTGAGACTATTAATGGGCAAATCACAAATACTTCTAATAGTTTCTTAAAAATTTTTACTATGTTTACATTCGAAATTAGTTTGAATGTTATCAATTATTCCGTTAAGACTTTTTACCAACACTTAATTCACCTTTATCTTATCAAATAATACTTTAATATTCTTGGACACACTGTACTTAAAAATATTTATGAGCTATGTGTGATAACAGACGCCACATATAAAATTTTTAATTAGAGTTTCAATTTTGATAAACATGTAATATGTTCAACTCACTTTTCAAAGAAATATTTATTCAATCTAAAAATTGTATTTTATAAAATATTAATTTTGATTTATTCTGACTAAATTTAATAGTACATAGTTTAAATTATACCGCTTTTATTAATAAAAAAAAAAAAATGAAGGATGAACAAAATGACCCAAATGATCCAGAAAATTCAAGAATATTTGTATTATACGACAAAAATAATCCCATATCAGAAAATGAATTTAATGAATTGTTTAGCAAATTTGGTACTGTAAAAAATATTTATATTGTCAAAGATCGAAATAGTGATAGTGTTAAAGGTAAACTGTATAAAAGCTGATTATACATTCAATTTACATTAAATTGGTTATATTTAAAATCACATTGTTTTTATTGATAATTCACAAACTAATATATCCATTTAAAAACATTTGAAATCATAAATTATCTGTTATACCAATTTAGGTGTAACATATATTAAGTATGCAAAAGCTTCAGAAGCTTTTAAAGCTATTGAGGAAATGAATGGTTATAAATTGGATTCATCCCACCGTCGCATGAAAGTTCTAATGGCAACTAGGTAATATTGCCCCAAATGTTTATTATATAATGGAACTTTATTATTTTATGTTCATTTACATTTTTTATGATATAGCCCTGGACAAAGCAAAAATAGTTCAGATATGGAATTCAATAGGTTATTTGTATTTGTACCAAAAACTGAAAAAGAAAATGATTTAGAAAATTATTTTAGTCAATTTGGGGATATTTCAAAAGTTCACATTGTTACAAATAAAGATTCAGGGGAATCGAAAGGAATTGCCTTCATTACATTTACAAAGTAATGATACAAAATGAAGAAAATTTTTAATAATGTGCATAAATAATTTATAATCTTTTGTTGAATTCAGAGCCTCATCAGCTGCTTTGGCTATAGAAAATTGTGGATCTAATTATAAAGCAGTTTTTGCTAAACCAAAACATGAAGATGCCCCTACAAATTATTCAAGACACTCCGAATCAAAAAGTAATTAAAGGATAATATTTTAAGTAAAATGCAAATTGTATAATATCATATTATACAATTATATTTAAATATAAGTATTACAACTGTTTAAATTTAACATTAATTATGTTAGGTACCAGTAATTACACTTTACTTACGCCACCTTCTCATCCTCATCTTGATGAGCCTGGAGTGTTAATCGCTTTTACGTCACCAATTGTTACTTACAATGAACTTTACAGAATTCTTAACATTGCTCCAGAACTGGAACTAGTTAAAGAATTATCAAGACAAGTAAGCAATAATATTTTTCTAATTTTGATTATAGATATGAAATCATTAATATTTTATTTCAAAATAAATATTGTTACAAAAAAAAACTTTAATAACTAGTAATATTTCTTAAAGCTTTTAACTTTTTTTAGTTCTTTTTATTTCTTCATGTTTCTTACTCAAAAAAGTTACAATTACATATTTAATTTTTCTAAATTAAAATTTAGAATAGATTTTTGTGATTCTCTGCTTAAACATATATTTTTTAGTATATTAAAATTTAGTTTAAATTTTTTCATAAATAAATTTATAGTATTGTTTCCTAGAAAAAATTTTTATGGACAGTGTGATAAATTTTTTTATTTACAAGATGTAATACTCGACTATATGTTGAATATTACAACCTGTTGACAACCAAGTAGTAATGGTTTAAAGTAATGAAGTAAAAGACTCGTAAGTCAAGTAAAATGCAAAATAAAGTGTAAATATTAATATTAAATATTAACTACATAACAAATACTATAAATACACTGACTAAACAAGTATTCTAGACTGTAGTGAAAACAAGCAAAAATTCAATAATACAAAGTTGATTTTATGTCTAAAATAAAATAAATAATTTTACAAAAATAAGATAATTAAATGTTGCACAATGTTACAATATAAGCGATTCTCTAATACCCTTCATTATAATTGTTTACACTAATACATATTCATTTACATTAAATTTAATGTTTGTTCGTTTTTTCTTATTTATTTACAGCAGCAATTATACGATAAAAAAAAGTTTCAAGTTATATACAGTACTATTTCTGCAGCTGATCATGCTGTTAGTCGTATAAATGGATTTGAGTATCCTCCTGGCCACCCAATAATTTTGGAGTATAGTAGCAACACTTCTATGTAAGTATTAATGTACTTGTATAAATATTATTCAGAATATTTTTTTGAAAATGTTTTATTTTAGTATATATAACACAAATTCTTAATAATTCAAATTATTTCTACTTTGATTTCATTATCAAAAATTTACATATTTATAATAATTTATTATTACATTCACTTTTATTAACAGGTCATTACCAAATTCTGTAGATCCAATTGTGGCTAGTAAAATTACAAAAGATATTGAAGTATTGTCGAGTACAGTCTCTAAAGCATTAGCTGTGATCAAGAATGCTGCTTTTAGTTTACCAGATGAATATTGTAATACAACTATGGCACCAAAAAGAAGAAGTGAAAAACCTCTCAATCCATCAATTGATAACTTATATAGGTGAATAAAATTTCAATAATAGTTTTACTAAATTATTATTTTTGTTGATATTTTTGTAGATTGTTTTTTGTGAGCAAACCAGTTATTCCTCCTATGAGGTTGTTAGAAGAAGCATTTAGAATGTTTAAAGGATTAAGAAATCTTAATGTAATTGATGGAAAAAATTATGGTTATGTTGTTTATGATAATATGGAAAGTGCAACAAGAGCTATTGATGTAATTATTTAATTCTCATTCTTACACATATTGACGTTTCCAGGCAAAAAAAAAAAAAAATTCATGACATTTTTATAATTTTACAAGAGAGTAAAAATAAAAATAATGTATGACGTTTACATACATCTTTAAATATCAATTTGCTTAGAAACATCAATACAATATATATATATATGTATATATATTTGTTCAAAGTGCATATATCACATTTTACTTTTTTCAAAATTTAATTTAATAAAGTAAAATATTCTATTAAAAAATATATGTCTGGCGGGACACTCTGTATACATATGAATATATTTTAATTTTATTGTTAACATATACAATGAAAAACATTTTTTTAAGTGCATTTATCTGTTTATTTTAGTGCCTAAATGATCATAAAATATATAACAGTCGTTTAAAAGTAATGGAAGCCGAACCAAAGGAACCAAATCGTAAACGTATGAAGCAAGAATCATAGTTGTATTCGTAAGTTTTTCTAATATAAATTTTTACTCACATCAGATTATTAACTTTAAAATTGATTATATTTATAAGGTCAAAATTTTATTATAGTACTAGAAAATTTAAAATAAATTAATTCGTTGAACTATTGTTTTCAAACTACTCATTAAAATATTAGACTAGGTTTTCAAATTTGTGATAGATATTAAATTAAAATAAAGCAATGCGGTCATTAGTTGTACAAATTCAAGAAATGTCAAATTTTTATAAAACTGTTACTTACGCTGAAAAATCTTCATTTAAGTATTAAAATTGAAAACAAACATTACTTTTAATAATTAATTTTGAAAATTTGATTAGAAATTCAGAATTAATATAATTTATTTCTAATACAAAGTACAATATTTATTTAAAAATAAAGTAAAATATTGATTCTGTTAAAGCATAATTCTATGTAAAAAACCAAATTTAGGGTTCAAATTTCAGTCTGTTTCCTTTATGTTTTCAGGACAATACATAGTTCATACAACATATACAAACAATTTGATAACTCACTAAAACAACAGATACTTGTGTTTGTCCACTATGACAAGATAATACATCACAATTCAACCATTTTCATAAGACACAACATATGTTGTGGACAAAAAATACATTTTTCGAACTAACTAACACTCTCAACGATTAAATATATATTCAGACAGCTCATACATGATTTAATTGTATTCAATGGAAAACATAGTATTTATAGTTTTAAGTATTCAGTATTATTTAGCAATATTCAAAAATGAAGTTTTACTGAACTCAACGATTTTATATTCAAATGGTTGATAAAAATATAAAATATTTACCACTCATTTTATATTGGAGTGCAATCTCTCTTTTTGCTTCTTTTTATTTTTTTAGTTAGCATCACATAATTTCCTTAATTTCAACCATATACTTTATAGGTACAAACTATATCACAAAAAATAAACTACAAAATATATTAAAATAACTATTTTATTTTTTAATTAATTAATCAAATTGTTGAATACTTTATAGACTTTTTACATCACTATTTGTTGTTAATATTCTATTCTTGATATAATATTCTTTGTAGTAATTATGAAAAAACTTATGTTTTTAAAGTTTTGATTTATTTTAAACATTCCTTTTACCAAAACACTATAAAAATCTTTTTTAAAACTATATTATACATCTTTTTGAAGACAATTATTAAGTAATTTTGCGAGTTTGTGTGTGTGTTTTTTGTTAGTGTGATTGAGTATGTTTTTAATTTAAAAATAAATTTCTTGTAATGACAACATATTAATGTACATAAAGTACAATTATAATTATGTGAAAAGTACTTTTTTTCAATAAAGAAACACATTTATAATTATTTTTTTAAATTCTATAATACATTAAATTTTAAATTATGAAAACTTTTACTAATATTTATTCATTATTTACTTATTTTGTAAGCATAATTTAATTTCTATCAGATACATGGTTATTAAACATTTTTTATATAATTGTATGTCTAAGTTAGGTTTTCAATGTGTTGCTCTTTTAAAAAATATACATATACCCTATAATAATATATTATAGGGTAATAAAAAGGAATTTTTAAAATAATTTGATGGTTTTATGACGAAATTTGATTTCGTAACTGTAGAGAAAAAAACGTCTTTAATGTAGCTAAGTTTAAACAATATAAAAAATTAATAATCCGAGTACCATTCTACAATAGTTTAGTTTTAACAAGTCGTACATACAAGTAGTTATGTTGCTATCTACTAGAGAGCGTTTTTTAATTGAAATTTCTTTGAGCAAATTTAAATATTTCCACTGTAAGAAATTCTGTACAATAATATTTGAAATCAATTATGCCTGAGAATTTTTTCTATTTTCAACGATATAATGAGTAAACTTTGATAAGTATTTTTTTCTCCTGCAAATAAAAAGCTTTTCTCTCATTACGTTATAGGTAGTGGTATTATCGTAAATGAGTTATAGAGTATTCAATAGAATTTTTACAGGGTTACGATGTATATTTCAAGATATTACGCTTGTTGACCAAAAGTTAAACACGCCTTATGCTCTTCTTAACACCCCTGCAAGTATATTTTTGCTGTATGTGATATTTTAATAGTGTATATTAAGGTTGTTAAAAAAATCAATGTTATTTTCTCCTACCACTACTTCAAGTTGTTCTCTATATATTTTTTATAAAAAAAAACTTTTGTTGAAGCATCCCAAACCATTATTTTTTTACTGTCTACATATTAACCCTTTTTAATCCCAACTTTTCATTTTTAGTGTAAATGACTCAATATCAATTTTTTGAGAAGAGTGACCAGAGAAAAGGGTTACAATTTTTTTTTTTAATTTTGAAATTTGGAAAAAATGTTTATTTTAGTTTGGTTGCTTACATAATATAGCATCTTTTAATGTTTAAAGCACTATTTTTACTATAAATTTACGACCACAAATTAAAAAAATTGATGTGTACACAATAGTTTACCTAGGGTCTGAAAATATTTATTGTACATGTATAATAATTATAAAACAGTATCTCTTTTTAATTGTTTCTGAGTATTTTTGGACTGATATAAGGATACGCTTAGAAAAATTATTCATACTTATTATTTAATATTTCAATAATAATGTTTATAACTCATTTATTTAACTATTTAATCCAGAAAATTCATGATCTTGATTTCTTAATACCCCGATCTTCTACTGTAACTGTATATGAAAAAAAATTGTCATATTAATTAATTTAAATTTAAATTAAATAATTAATTTCGTTAAAGGTTGAATAATTTTCTCTTCAATATATGTTATTTTTAATTTCAACTGATTGGAGATGACACAAAAGTAATAATTTTTGTGTTTTGAAATATTAGAACTAAAATCATAACATAAAAGAGTAGTGGCAACATTTTTTGTCGTTTTTGGACTCTTCAGTGTAAAATTTTGTCCAATTTGTTCGTTTTTAAATTAAAATCTAGAAGCTTAGATTTTTCAAAATATTAAAGATGATAGTAGTGACGTAATCAAGATTTTGTTTGTAGAAAGAGGAAATACATAAGAAAATTGTTTATTATCCCTCCAAATTGTATCTTTAACACGTAATTATTTTCATCTTGCGAGGGGTTTTGAATCCTATTATCTCCCTGAACAAAGGCCCTTAAAAAGTGATCTTATTCTTTAATATTTTTTTAGTTCTATCTTAGACACAAAGATTTTTCACAGCCTACAGAGCCGTCTTAAGACCGTGACGAGCGGAGTTCAAACCCCCGGGCCTCGTGCCTTGGAGTCCTTGTTTGCGTTTATCAAAAAATGTTCAATAAATAATTCATTAAAAGAAATTTTAGAAAAATATCTTCAAAACTTCAATGACACAATTTTACTAAAGTGTTAGTGATTCAGAGCTATAGTTACCAAAAAAAATGCCTTTTAAAAAACGGAACGGGTAAAAATGTTTACTCCATAACGTATTCACTTTTGCTTATTTGTACACTTTCATTGAAATAAAGACTCAAAAATTCTATATTTTCTGTTTTATATCTGAATATCTTTCATCCCAATCCTCGTTAGAGTAAAGTACAAATTTGGATTTATTACTATTGCAACTAATTTTAGATAGAAATTTTATTATTTTGACTTTTTTTGATATAAATAAAGTCCCTCTAAAATTCCTACAAGGTTTTCGGGGTCCAGTTCAGCGCGGGCATACATTTGAATAATATTCTGTATAATCCAATAGGTTCTATGTATATGTATATAAATGCCAACCGGTGAGGAGATATTGTGGTGGTAGTGATGACGGTGGCTGTAATGGCTCCCCGTCCGTAGTTCGGTGTGGTGATGGTAACGGCGGCGTTTGATAATTACACGGCACGACGACCAACAGACGGACCTAAAGTACGCCACCGTCGATGGCGCCCCGATCGATCGGACCACACACCTCACGCACTGAATACAGTTCGGTATTCTTTTCGTTGTGCTCTTATGAAACCTGAAACGTACTATGCCGTTAAAATGTATTCATTTTCTCTAGCAGACGTTACGAATCTTGCTATGCATAAATAAACACGACTACCAAAAAACAGTTTTTTAACGATATTTTATTACGAAAATGTTATGCCATGTATTGTGGTGTTATATTCAATTTTTGATCTGTTTACGATCTAAGGGCGAATACCGTCGTTGCTACTGTGGACAGTAGCAAGTACACTTAATGAATATCCGCCGCATACCAGTCGACCGATTAAGCGTCGTGTCTGTTGGCTAATAGCGCCAAGTGTGTGGAATAGAATGGATATTGCCGCCGCATTGTATATGTACGAACACGTACGCGGAGGCGCTGAAGGTTCGCAGCGGTAGTGAGTAGTGGTACAGACACAAATGCGCCGCCCGGAGCTGTCTGAGTCCTCTTTCCGCCAGCGTGCGTCGTCGTCCCGCTACTTTCCTAGTCTCTCCGACCTTCGTGGGATTGCCCACAGAGCGAACACACAACACAACCCGAGAAACACTGTGGTGTCAGTTGGCGGCCACCGGCGTGTGAGCGCCGTGCTGACAACGTCGTCCGGAATCGTATTTACAAACGTTACACTATCAACTGTGACATCGGAAAACCCGAAACGGCACGTACCGTTCTATGTGAATATTTTTCACAAAATATGAAAACTAGTAGACATTACTTGTAAAACTACTCCTAATTTGGTTTTGTTTTCAAGTCTCAAAGTTACAATTGCCGAACGGCAAAACAATATTACACTTGGAAAACAAAGATTTTTTTCCATTTGTCCAAAATTTTAGTCGAGATTTTTACGTAACCTTAGTGTTCTGGTCTCATCAGAAAATTGAATTTTTAAAGGTATGAAATTTGATCCAATCAACTTTTCGGCGGTGTCTTAATATCCAGAAAACGAATGCTGGCGTAAAATATATAATTTTAAGTTTTAACTTATTAGTGTTCCAATTATTAGCAAAAAAATATTCCATGAAAATTACATTTCATCAATATTTTATAATTTATTCATTTTCTCTGTTTCTTCTTAAAAGAATTGTCAAAAATCGAATGCATATGTTAAATTCTTGATAATATCGAAGGGATGGGTTGTATGAGTAATAAACACAATGTGTTCGTTTGGAGCAACTTTTGACCGTTTACTTTGAAATTCTTTATAACTATCACATCTGACTAAAACAAGGTAATGTTTACCGCAGCACAACATTAGACGTAACGAGACAAGAGTTAATTTTGAATTTAAAAACAAATGTAAAAAAATAAGAAGGGATTTCAATTTTAACGATCAACTAGGTTTGTAAAACAAATGCCTGTGCCCGTTGTTGAGCTTGTGTTGTAACTTTTGTGTGTGTACCACCCGGCAGCAGTTGCCCGTAGATGATTGCTGGCGGGAGGTTTATGGCACGCGACTACCGCTGCGGTTCGATACCCCGCGCCCGCCCCGGCCGCACGTCGGACTGTACACGCTATTGCCGTCACTACCGTGTTCGCCCCCTAACCGAGGTGCCTCTTCAACCATTTATTAAACCCGTCACGCCCGTTCCGGATAAGCCCCAGAGACCCGTAAGCCCCCTCCACTCTGCACCACTTCACGGCCTAACCTCCAACACGTCCTCACTGCCACCGTGCGCACTCGGTCTCTTCAACAGTCACCGGAAGTTGGACCGCAGTGTAAGCTTAATACCCGTAGGATAAAAAAAAAAAAAAACCCGAGAGAGATATTCCTCGTTACAGATTAAAACTCTACATGTAATGGTATACATGATAGCCACTCCGAGTGATGCGCTATTAATCATATTCGTGGAATTACGTGAAATATTAAAAAAATCAAGTTTTCATAGATAATGTTCCCGTAGGAAATCAACAACTGAATTTTGCAATATTCCTAAAAATCCACTTGAGTGTAAATTTTTTTTAATTCTATTGTTTTCCATGTATTTTACTTGAATTACGTAGCCATAATAGATTGATTGACTTTATGAAAATGACGAATTTTTTTTATGTCAGCTATAAAAATGTTCTCTTTAATTTCACGAATAACTATGAAGAATAATATATCTACTTGGCATCAAACGTTGCACTCGCTTAAGAGTATTCTCTATAATATGTGAAACTTGATAGATGGAAAGTGTATCAAATATTGTTGTTTTTCCGTAACGTTCGAAATAAAAGCTTTTTCGCGAAATTTTAATTACACTGTTCACTTTTGAGTTTTTATTTTGCTGCTTTCTAAAGGGGTCTATCCCCTCGTCGCTCTTAACCATGTCGCGGTAATTGATTGAAGTGACATAGAGATGACTAAAGTGCACGTGTAAAAGATAAATGTTAAAAAATCCAAACGCATAAATTATACTCGATAACCGAAGGTTATCTAATATCTAATTGGCGTTCGTGTGGATATAACGCGAATTTTGGAGTCATGAAAAATGGAATTTCGCTAAAGCAGATCCTAAAAGAAAATCAGAATCTTTAGCCGAGTAGCCAATTTCGCAGTAGACATTTTTTATAACTGAAATTATGTAGAAATACTTTAATCCGAATTTCTGCTTAGTCACCAACATCGGCGGTGTATACATAATACACGATCATGCGGCCGCTCACAATACATTGGACCCGGCGGTATGATATTACGCGTCGGTATCGTTATCGCCGGGGCGAGTTGTGTGTTGTTGGCGGTGGGCGGATTGTGATGTGTGTTTTTGTGTGTGAAAAAGAGCAAGAGGGAGAGGAAGTTTTAGTCGGTGTCCGACACCTGTGACCGGGCCCCTGCCGCCTCGTTTCCAACAACGTAGTGTAATTACAGCGTGCGCCATAAAATCCCCTCGAACGGCGCAGTCCGCCCTTGCGTTCCGTCGGTTGCGTGCAGAGGCGGTGGCGGTCGTGTTGGTTAAGCTTTGTGCCGAGGCGCGTGTACTCATTACACACGCCGCCGCCGCCGCCGGGCCTCCCGCGCATCTACTCTCTCGTTGCGGTGGAAAACGCTGACACGGTCTGTCGCGCACAGTGTATCTGATTCACGGCGAAATATTCTTTACAGTTTTAATTGCTCTCCGGTTTGATGATATCGTGTAATATTTTGCGAGACGACAAAAGAGAAAAAATAAACGATGACTTTTGTAATGCCTCTCGGATTTCCTTGTCTCCCTCGAGTCCAGTCCCTTCACACTGTGCACGACACAATAACATTTCTCCGACGAAACACCCGCAAGACAATAATTGTCAGAATTATTTTGGGATTGGTTTTTTCTACTGTAGTCGCCGAACTCGAGTTTATTTTTCGAAACGATTTCGACAAATCGAAATCACTTTTCCTTCGTTGCCCATTGATTTCCTTTTGTACCTATTTCGAGTACGCACTATAAATCCAAATTTTATCACTATAAGACTAGCACATCCGCCCGCATTATAGATCGATATGCTAAAAAAACAAAACGGTGTTATACTATTGGCTTACAAATGAATAAAAAAAACCCCGATAGTTTGAGATATTATGAAAATAAGTTAGAATAAAGAAAGTTTGTTTTTAGATACACCACACGCTATAGATTCCATCTTTCTAAATTTTCAGAGTATTTTATTTTTAAAACTGTACTAATTAATCAAATTACGTTTACGAAACAATCATAAAATGTACAGTATGTAAATGATTTAAACATTGTTTTTTACAAATGAATATTTAAAAACAGACGAAACAACCTAAATACATAACGAACATATTGTACCTATAGCGCGTACTGTTTATTTATATAAATTTTATTTACATGTATAGTTATTAGAAATATTAATAATAAAATAAATATCAGGCACGTGCCGAGAAAAGAAGAAACGAGCCGCTCTCAAAGAACCTGAAATCTATGACTGCGTGAAAATGTTGTTTGATTACTCAAAAGAGAAAACCGAGAATTTTCATAACTCCCAGTATACGAATTGCCAATATATAAATAATATGTTATCTATAAAACTTAAGTACACACTTTACAACGCTCGTATATGAGTCATATTTCGCACATATTATTTTAATAAAGGAAAAAAAACACCTTCAAAAATATTGATTTCCAAAATGATGCAAAAGATGTTATTTTAACAAGTTATGCGTAGAAAATAATAGCATCATAAAAATAACAGATGGTAAATAATGATAAGATCATTAATCATATCTCAGATAATAACTGATCTGACTCGTCCGTAAGTCAGCGTAGTAGTTTAAAACAGAGTCGTAACGTGTCTCTGTGTTACCGTTCTGGTCGAATGTTCTACTTGTCCATATTCTTTAGCACAACATCAGAAATTTAAACTTGAAAAAAGAACTATGCGATCCGGTGACGCAACTAGCCGAGAAGTTGGTTTAATTTGACAGTGTGTGTTTATTTTTCCCAAAACTTTACACTGTTATCATTTATATGAAAATATTTTACAGTTTATTTTTTCACATTTATTAAAAAAAAAAACGCCTTAAAAATACAATCAAAAGGATCTGAATAATACCTTGACTTGGGAACTTTCAAAAACCTCGCTCAACTATAAAGGTAACTATTAGTGGGACTAATTTGTTTTTTTCAATTCACAATTATTTGAACATTGCCACACGCATTTCCAAACTACTGAGAATGTTATGGAAGAATTTCAACTGACAATGTAATAATTTTAATTCTTAAAAATAGGTACCAGATGTGTTTCACTGTTTCCAAATTGTGTTCGTATGTTATTTTTGTAAGAGACCCTTTAGAACGGTGTTATATGTTTTACTTTTTTAGCCCTAAAACAGTGCTCCCTCGGATAGCTCTTGTGCCCTTCTCTGATCGTCATACTTCGCACGGTTAGGTACACGTCAGGAGCGAAGAGAATAGAGGAGATTTTTCGTATAATTTAATATTACCACGTGAGGGTGGTGGGCGTGCCGTTGGCGCCCAAAGCGCGCGCGGGTCGTCAGTGGCGTCACGGCTATTACACCGATCTTGCGGCGGTGACGGCGAGTGGGAAGTCGGCCGTGTGTATATAGATAGAAAGGTAGTGGGAAGGAAATATGTATATATGCATCTGTGTGCGTGTGTGCGTAGTGAGAACGTTGTCGGTGGTAGTGAGCGGCGGATTGGAGGGATCGCGCTCACTCGGCCGGAGGTGTGTGGGGTTGAATTGCCAGCCGGGCGGAAGAGAGGTGTCGACATTGCGGTCGGGTCACCCGTGCCGCCGACGGCGTCGAGTTCTCGCTTCTCTCATTACCGTCAGGGAACCGCGGCCCGCAGTTAGTAGTAGTCACACGTCGGGTGCGCTCGCGACATGTGATTGCGTCCGGCTACACGATTATCACACAGCACGCGCGTGTTTGATGATGACAGGAAAATGTGAACCGGATCCTTCTTTTTCCGTATTAGCCGCCCCGACGTCCGCAAGAATCCACGATAGCAACAATAACGCCGCAGCAGCGGCCACTGTGACCACAACCCCAGTGACGGCCACCGTGCATCCCTTTAGCAAAAGAGAACCGATTGTCACTAGTTCTTCTTTGGTTTTTTCACAAACGTCTAATCAAAAGGATGGTAAACGGGTAATTGTCTTTTTTTTTATTGTTTAATAATTAAAATTAAACAGGTCAAGTATTAGAATTCCACTGAAATCATTTTAAACTTTAAAATTTAATGGAAATTCATTTCTTCGTTGAATTTTCAAGTTTTTTACTAAGTAATTATAACTGTTTGAATTTTATCGACACGTTATGTAATTAAGCCTATTGTGGGCTTATTATCGTGGGAATATTAAAAAAAATGTATCGATAAAAGATTCAATTTATTTTTTTTTTAATTACTAACGGTTTATTTCTACAAGAAAAAAAATATTTATTCCAAAGTCGTATGAATTCACTTTATAATACGACATGTGATACGTTTCTCATAAAAGAGAAAAATCCTTTAGGCAACTTTTCATTTCGAACTTCTAATGAAATGGTTGTTGATGCTACCTCAAAGGAAAAGGCCATAATGTAGACAAATGGAGGGAGTATAGGGACTATAGGTTCCCCATTAGCCAATTATTACTATTAATAGTAGTATATGACTTGGTCGTTAGTAAGAATGTATAAAAAGCCTCCTCAAAATATCATGGAAACGCCACTATGTGGAGGTCAAAAATTTTCTTTAACTACCACAGTGAATCTATAATAATTTAATTTGGAGTAGACAGGACAATTTTTTCTTCGAGTTATAAATTTAAAATAAGCTATTTATAATCGATTTTTAGAAATAAATTAGTCTTGTACCGTAGACGGCAACAGACACTTTTTTTTATAATTTTTGTTGAAAAGATTGAATTGCAAAGATTTAAGTACTTCAATGTAGTAAAATTTACCATCTCGTTCAACGTCAAACCAAAGAACTAAAGTACATTCAGTTACTTTACAATGAATAATATTTTTTTAAATTTGATCCCGTTCTCGTAACAGACGAATATGAAATATTGTTGATTTCCAGAAATGAAATGACTGAAGAAAGTCGATAGAAAAACTTTAAATGAATTTTGGAAAATAAATAATTACTGTAGTAAAATTAAGAAAAAACTATTTTTGTTATTAACAGAAAAAATTCTTATTCGCGGAATAAGAATTTTTCAATATTGAAAAGTGGATTGTACAAAGCGTATGCTTTTTGACCCTACGCTATGATTTTTCTCTTTTTTTAAGGTCAACACAAAATCATGACCCTTTTGTAATTATGCAAAGGAAACCGCGTTAACATTTATATATTTAGAAAACGTGGCATGTTTAGAGAAAAAACGTTTAAGTCGTTCTCCGTAAGAAAAAAAATTTAAGTATACAATACCGAACTATACACATAAAGTACCGAGTACAACGACAGTACATTTGTGTTGATAGTTTTTCACCGAATGATCATACTAAACGTTACTGTTAAAAACACTAGTACTTTGACTACTGTTAAAAAATACCAACCCAGTTGAGTAACGTTTTCAACGCAGTAATCATAACGATACGAAATTCTATACTGAAAGTTAAACAAAACGTGTCCGTTATATTTTTTATATTTAATCACAGACTTTTCTGTACTCGATAATGTCTATCGACATTCTATTACTTGGTTTTTTCTCATTCGTACTGGACACAATGGACAGACACGGCCGCCGTCCATAAGTAGCCGCTTATGGTGTCGGCTACGACGGTTGGAACAAAACCAATCGGGTTTTCGTACGCGAGCCTCCCGTCGTCTGGCCTACCACCGACCTTCTGTTGACTTGCCGCATGCCTACGCGTGTAAACATTTTTCGTTCTCCTACCTTCTGATTGCCGCACGCGTTTGATATCTGCTCGGAAATAATAATTGTTGTGTTGAATTCGGCGATGTTAATGCACAGCAGCAGAAGCGGTGGGCGGAAAACGTGCTTGCTCACACACACACACACACATATATATGTATTTTATTATTGTTGTAAGTGTGCGTGAATACTGAGTGGCGGTGTTGTTTGTTGTTGTCTGATGCGTGTCTAGGAGCGGCGGCGGCGGCGGCGGCGGCGGCGGTGGTGAACTACTCTACACTACTAAATCGGGATTCGGAGTGCGGCGTACAGTCCTACCCTCCTTTCACGCATCTCATATATTGTCGGCGGCTACACGGACCGTCCGCCAGCAGCCGTTCTCCGTCGATTCCACTCGACACCGCTCTCCGCAAGGACGCTTTCGTCCGTGACCATCTAGATTCTAGACAGACATTGGTTGCTAAACGTGTCTAGCGTCGCGTCGGACGGCCGATGTCGTCGTGATAATTGTTATTTATTACTACCGTTGTTTTTATTCGTGTGGTCATTAGGAATTCAACTGTTGGGTTGCCATGTATTTTTCACAGACACTTTTACAAATGAAGAAATGTTTAAATCTTGTAAATCATACCGTCGTCAAGTTCAGACATATTTAAAAAATTATGTCACAATTTTCTTTTTACGCGAATATTATTTGTCCTGTTACTTGTAATAAAATTGCATTCAGTACTGAACGTGTAGGAAATCGGATTAAAAATTTCAATATTGACGGGAATTCAGAATTTTGAAATTTACCTAAATGACAAATATAATATTGATAGTACGTGGATTATTGGAAAAGAACATTTTCTAATCGGACTCTATTATTGCTATAAACCAAAAAAATGATCGTGTTGTCAGTGAATAACAAGTAAAAATTATCTACGCATGACGGAATATAAGTGTGAAACTCCAGTTTGTTTTATTATTAAAATTACCACAGACAGCTCTCAGACGGTGAATTGTTTATATTAGCGAACTAGGCGACCTAAAGAAAATATTCAGTCGCCTAGTGATTGTATTTTTTTAAAACCAACAAAAATACTCCTGTTAATATTCATTTCAAACAGTAATTTTAAACATTATATAGATTGCCTCGTATTTCAGGAAAAAATATTATTTTACTCAAACCTGAAATGTATTCGCACTTATTTACAAAATACAAAGCGTGAGAACTCATAACCGTCTGCTTAACGGTGAAACTCGACTAATGTCACACTTATTGTACCGCTGATGTTTTCATTCGTCGGTATGCTATCTAAGCGTCGTAGATTAGTTACGCTAAGATTTCTTCGATGTGAAATTCAGTGGCCACAATGTTTCGACCGTCAGGAGGTTCACAGTGTTCTGTAGGTGAGCGCGGCGACGGCCACTGCTATCTCGACACGCGCTCTTTGCGGACCACTGGATGGTCGTTCCAGTCGCTCGTTAGCAAAAGGCGGTAGCTTGTTAAGACCCAGTCGTACTAAAAACGGCAGCTACCCCACCCACCCACTCGAACGTCATTCCCGCATCGGTCGCTCCACAGTAATAATAATACCATTATTATTATTGTTATTATTGTAGAGACATGTAATATCTTCGTGAGACGGATACCGGAATAAATCATAATAAAAAAAAAAGAGGGAAAGCGCAATTGTGTCTATACGTTTTATTTTTACTGCGTTTACCGTCGCGGCGGCGGCGGCGGCCTCATGAAAGTGCGATACCGTGTCACGGTATGATAACATTGGAACGTGTCGGCGGCGGCACGACGTTAAGTCACGACACGGATAAACCCTTGGCGGCGTGTGGAATCGTTGCCCTGCCGCCACCGCGTGCCATTTGGCAGCCGCCACCGCACACACATTACCGTCTGTCATAAGCGGCGCGGCGGCACTTTGTGTGTGTGCGCGCGTGCATAAATCATTGCTCTGCCGTCATGACAATCCGCGTACTGTCACCACTACCTTCTCCTTTTTTTATTGTAACCTATTGTGAACGGACTGATCATGACATTTTTTTTTGAAATCGTCTCCGAGACGAGCGCAGCATATGAATAAAATTGAACTTTTAATTGTACGCTCTACTGTGTAAGAGAAGGGCGTGTCGTAAACATTGGAAAAACAATTTTATAAATAAAAAAAACCTATTGCTTATTACACTTTTATTCAGTGTCGAATTTTTTAAATAGATAATATAAGAAATAAAAATAATTAAAACTTTTCTAGTATTTGAATATTTATTTGACTAGTCCAGTTTTATGTAAATGATCACTAGTCGACTATTATCGGTACTTTTTATTTGAAAAACGTTCAAAACATATAATTGCGCGTCATAATATCTATTGGAAGAAAGGAACCAAGAAAATGTATAGCGCTTTACACCCTCGTAGGACTTTCCTAGCACTATGCAAGTCATGTCTAGATGTAAGAAATCGGTTTTTCGATAATTTTAAAAACGAAACAATATTTTATATCGAAATATATGTTTAGTAAAATATGAAAATGTTTTTCATCTTGTTCGATTAAAACCGTAATGACTATAACTAATGTTAATTAAAAGAATATTTTTACTAAATCAAGCCCTCTTGTGTGCATCGAGTCTAAAAAAAGCATTAATGATTGAGCAGTTCTAATGAATGTTAGTTGGTGTACACCATAACATAGAATTGAAAAAATTCCAAGCATAATATTATTTTTTATAATCAATTGATATTTTTATAGGCTAACAAACCACTAATGGAGAAAAGAAGACGTGCGAGAATAAACCAATCATTAGCACTTTTAAAAACTCTCATTTTAGATTCCACTAGGACCGAGGTAAACTCAAAGCCTTTGTACTACACTACGCGTGTGTCGGAATTTGTGTTAAAAATAAAATTCGTTTTTTGTACTGTTGCTGTTTAGAACACAAAACACTCAAAATTGGAAAAAGCTGACATATTGGAGCTCACCGTGCGCCATTTGCAACGCCAAAAAGTACTGAGCTCAGATGTCAGAGATAAATATCGGGCCGGCTTCCAAGAATGCGCAAGAGAGGTAACAACACAATTTATATATACACACACGTACCTTTACACTTGTAACACTTTTCCAACGGTTCGTACGTTATGCCTGAAAAACACTAAAGCTCTTCATTACGTTATTAGGTTACCAGATTTTTAGAATGCCCAGAATTACACATGTGTAGCGCTGGGGCTGGTAATCTGATCACGCCCGGCGCTACAGTAATCGAACCAGCCGTCAAACAGCGTCTTTTAAGACATTTGGACACCTGTTCGTCTGAAATCGATTTAGATTTTAGTAATTCTACGGTGGTCATACCCGACGTGAGTAAATTAGTATCGGTTTTCGAAATTCTCGAGGCATTTATACGGGTAAACTCAATCAAACACCACGATAACGTTTCATTTCAGGACATGATTGGTGGCGACGAAGAATCAAATTGTAGTACTGCGGACAGTAGGAACGATCGAATAAAATCAGAACCTCCGAAAAAACGTACTCGGAGCAGATCCGTCGGCGTAGAAGATAAATCGATCGATCGCAGTGGACTTACAGCTAGTGTGGTCGTTGCTCCTTCAAACGACCCTACCCAACCTCTGTCTGTAGTACAAGTAGGTTCATAACATAATATATGTAATGTATCCGAACAGTCTAAAAATATCTATATAACAGGTAATTCCCTCTCAGCTTCCAGATGGACAAGTTGTGTTCTTATTACCTAGCCACTATGTGCACTGTCAACAGAATCCGGGAGGCGAAGGGAGGGCTCAAGGAGAAGAGCCCATTGATTTCAGTGTGAAAAGAGAACACGAACATGACAGTATGTGGAGACCTTGGTGAAGTAGACGTCTTATTTATAGAGGAAACATAGATATTTGATTTTTGTTTAATTTATTTCCCTTTACTTATATTTCTAAAATAAAATTATTATTATTTTTTTTTTTTGACTGTGATACAGATAAGAAATGACAGTTTTCATCTCTAATACACATATTTTTATTGTGTTTCTATAATAATGACATAGTCCGATCTTCCTTAAAAGTCATAAACATGAATGAATACTGTTCATTAATTAATAGTAATTTTTTAATTAAGAATTAAACAAATTTATTACCTCCTTAGTTCTTCTATATCTTGTATTACTTAGAATAGATAAAAAAATCAAAAGTAAAGTTTTCTATTTCTTTTTTTTATAAGCAATGTGCAATATTTATGAATTTTTTTTTTTAGTCACCAATCTTAAAAAATATAAATCAATTTAAGTTTTGTTTATTATTGTTGTTGATACATTTTAATTATTATTATTATTATTATATTATACATTTTTATTTAATATTATTGAATTAAATATATTAGGACTTATTCTATAAAAATTATGATTTAAAATTAAGTTAAAATGTATGATTGATACGTATATTGATAACAATTTATTGATAAAAATTAATTGTAAAACAATATATTTCTCTTTTATAAATATCTTAACAATGATTTGTTATGAAAACAATCATACAATTTTTTTTACATAGATAAACCTGCATGTTTTTATATTACGATATGTTAGTTTTCAAAAACTAGAATTTGGAATAGTTTTTTTTAGATTAAAACAATGTAATGATAAATTTGGAAATGTTTAAACATATTAATGAAAAGTCAATGTATTTGTCATAAATATTAGCAATAACTTCATAATCATAATGATAACTGTACAGATTATTTATTTAGATTAAAAATATTTTATTGATGTATTATTGAAAATTACTTTGCTTAGCTGTTATGTATAGTAAAATCTACTTTTCTCATTATTTTAAGTTAAACGAGTATGGATTTTCGAACTCATTTATTATCTAGTATAGATTTTTATTTAGTTATTTATTAAAAATGTTATTGAGTGTTCATGGAAAAATAAAACAATTAGTGTCGCCTTGTTATATAATAACTCTTATTTCATTTTAACTTTCATGTTTATTTTTTTTTATGTGATAAGAAAAAATGTTAAATAATATTTTTGTGTATTAAATACATTGTAAGATAATATATAAAATAAGATATGCACAAACATAACGATTAATAGAATAAAAAATATCATTACCTAAAAATTACACTATAAAATTTCAGAACTCTGTTCTCAAACAACTCTTGCTAATAAAATTATGTGTTTCAATCTAAAGGTTATAGTTGTTTGCTGTATTATCACAATATCCATAAACATATTACACATAAAACTAATAGTATATATTATTATTTCTTAAAATTTATACTTAGTACAAACATCAATGTATAAGCAGACACATTAATGCAGGTCCGCTTATTCTTAATTATATGCATTCTATGATAACATACAGTGATCTATGATCAGATACTAAAATTTCAATGTTTTAATATGTACTAATAATCTCTTTCGTTCATCTTAATTATATACAAGGGATTATCGAAGCAAAACATTTTAAATTATTTTTAAAGAGAATAGTGTACAGTAAATTTCATAAGATTTTATTTAAGAAAAACTGAATATTTAATTGTATAAACGTGTATTAGTAAATATAATGTGGTTTGAAATATGACAAGTATAAGATGATTCGTTGTCTCACATCTCACTGTACTCGTTAATCTAAAGAAAATTTGGAGGAATAAAAAGGTGTCAATAATATCTTTTTAATGTTAATTTAATTTAAATACATATTATCAATAATGAAATTAATTGAAATAATTATTATTTTAAGTTGTAATAATTTATGTACAGTAATATACATAAAACTAAAATTACATTCTTTAAATTTTAACAATAATCTAACTTTTTCAAGTTCGTCTTTATATACACATCTCTAATTATTTCATATAATTTTAATGATAATTAATTTTAAATTGATGAAATATTTTGTATGTTTATCATAATTTTAAACCCAATCATATCAAATAAAATAATAGCTATAGTTATAATTTTTAAAAAAAATGAATATAAAAATATGTACTGATTAAACAAAAAGCATGAGACACGCCCACACACTAAATTATCGTCTCTTAATAAGAAAGACCTTAAAAACTAATATTACCAAAAAATAGTTTCTCTATTAGTTCGACTTTTAAGGATACTTAATTTTATATTAAAATACATAACTCATAATTAAAAAATTAAGGGTTATTATTAACAACACAAGGATAAAGAAATTTTTTAACTTCGAAGGAAAGATGAAAAGGTATTAATTTTACTTTAATGCGTTTTTTTTTAAATTTTTGTTTTTTTTTGTTTGTTACAATTTTTTCTCAGCTATCATCGAACCGATTTCTTTAAACGATACATCCAAAGATTACAAATCGTATCTAATCGAAGATATTACCCTCAAAATTGAAAAAATTTCCCTCGTTCCCATGTTTGGAAGAAATTTCCTAAAAAATTACAAATTTAAATATTGCTAATTTTCGAAATTTTCAATTTTTTTTTTCTTAAAACTGCCATAATTTTTTAAAAAATGACCAAATCAATATAATTTTTTTTCATAGATGCATGATGTCTTTACCTATTATTTTATATATTTTTTTTATAAATTTGACCCATTACCTGCCCAGAGGGGGACTCACAATGACAACTTTTACACAAAAAATTAACTTTTTCAACTTAACATTTGAAAGTTTTACGGAAATACTAACTTTTATATATACCTTAAATTAAAGCTTATGTAATATACTCTAATATGAAAAAATAAAATTTCAGACTCTAATTTGTTTTCTTGGTGAAATCGGGCATCAAAGTTAATAAAAAAAAATACGATTTTTGTAAAAAAATTATTTTTTATAAAGCTATAAACTTTTTGAAAAATATATAGATCAATATAATTTTTTATGAGAAATAATATTTATATTATTACATATAATATTTAATATATAAATATATATATTCGTTACACTTATAAATCATAAAACTTGTAATCAGGATATAAATAAGGAAATAAGAGATAATGTAGATTTTGGAATAATTCACTAATTTTTTTAAAATTAAACTCTTTCTACTAGTGATTTTAATCACTGTCAAATATCATTATATTTGACCCAACTATGCCGCACCCCACTGTGTTGAGTATTTTATCATTATTACCACATAAGGGCCTGCATTATACATTTTGTTATGTATGTAATGATAAGAAAATAAACTGCTAAAATAAGTAATAGTTGGATCATTGGAAAAAATGCAATGAAAAATTTTAATACATTTGGTAAACAGTCATATTAGTATTATTCATCAAGGAGCTCAGTTAAAAAATTTTCAAGTAATAAAGATCTTTCAATATAAGAAACTGAATGCTTTTAACAAGATTCTTGTGCACGAACCTCACTTATCAAGTAAATGGGCAGAAAAAGAGGGTTATTAAAAAAATTACACGTGTAACTGAAAAGTTACTTGTAACTATTGAAACTAAAACGTTACAAATTATGAATTAATTAATAATATCAAATATAATAATATTAATTAATATTATAATTATCAAAATAATTATTGTATAATAAAGATTTATATTATTGAAGACTAAAAAACATAAACATTAAAGGTTTTTAGATTTTTACATTATAATTATATAGTTATTAAATATTGACTGAATTATATTTATAGTTGTAATTTAGAGCACAAATTGTTATATTCTCTTTTAACATCCAATGAATCATTCAGCCATTTTTTAGTTATAGGTTGCTGTGGTGGTGTGTCAAACCGTTTTGAGTGGGTCTCGTGGAACCCTGTCTAACAAATATATCGTTTTAGAACACATTTAAAATCAAAATAAATACGACATTAAAACAACAAAATTTTGTTACCCTTAAGTACGTCCTTTCTTGACTTAGTTTATCAGTTAACACAGAAATTCGTTCATCCACTTCTTCTACGTCTTTGTGAATGGTATCATCAGTTGTCTAAATATGGAATGATATTTTGTTCATAATTTAATATTTTAATACAAATAAAAATTATTTTGGAGTTACAATAATTATCATTGATATTTCGAAATTAAGAAAGTGTATGGATTTACTTGTTTGAGCCAATTAGTCAACGCCGATGCTCTTTTATTGAAACTTTTGTAAACTTCTAATGCGTGACCGTACCTCTCAGGTACTTGTAAATCGGTAAATAAGTATTCAATGACCTGGTGAAAATGAGGTCACGGTTTTAGATGTCTTTATCGAGTGTCATTTCGTTATCTTACCTGTAAAATAGCAAATATTTCTCTAGATGTGCAATATGGAAACTGAACGCCAGGTAACATAGTCTGCGCCATTCGAACGCACAGTGCCGCTTGATGCATTGAATCTCTTGTTCGCAATGCTTGGCGAAATCTTGAAGATTCGTCTCTGGAATATGCGTACAATTTTAAATAATAAATGGAAAATCGACAACTTGTTACACTATAAAATGTTGTCGTTTTTTATGGGATACATACACTTCATCTTTCAGCGATTGCCAGCTTTCGTAAGCTGTAAGACTATAATCAGTTGCATCTTGGGAAAATATTGTGGCGTCTTTCCACGATAGTTCACCACTAACCAATGTATCGCGGTAGCTACGAACTCTGTCCAACTCTCTCTCTAACTGATCAGTATTAGAGAGTTTGTTTTTTGATAACTCTCCTGTACATGCCATTAAAAAATTAATAATGCACGGTAGAGAAGTAATTTTAACGCACAGTAGCAGTGGCATAATTACCAGTTTGCACTTGCACTTAACACCTAAAGTTATTCAATTTTTAATGAGATATTAACAATAGATTATTATTTTTAACACCTCAGCTTCGTGAAATATAATAATAAGCCGTTTTTTATTAATAAAACAAAACAAACGTTTGTTTTACTATAAAACATTTAATGTTTTTAACATTTTTCAAGTGAAATTCTATTGTTCTATTGTACATTCATCAAATAATAAAATGTTGATCGTATACCCAATAGAACAATAGAATCCGTTCGTCGCAAAGGGACAGTCTGTGACGGTCGAACGTCCGGCCGATTGGTGATGCCAACCGTAAAGGTCGGTTCACACTATACGGAACGTCAACGTCACGTCACAGATCGGCAGCGTCACTTCAAAAAAAAAAAATCTTTCCGTGTTTCACGCGATGTTGACGTTACGTAACGGGGCCGGTGTATGTGAACAATACGATAAGGTTAGACGTTGTGACGTGACGCTGCCGATCTGTGACGTTCACGTTGTTCCGTATGGTGTGAATCGACCTTAATGCGGTACGACACGTCAACGGTTTCTGTGCACAATTGCATACATTTTAAATGAATAATTGCACTTTAAACAACAATTCTGTAATTTTCGAAAAAATGATTTTATATTATAATTAAATTTAATGTATTTATTTTTACAATTTATTGATTAAAATAAAAATTAATTTTTAAACTACATGAATACTGTGTATTGAAAGCTATAAAAAATAAAATTAATATAGAAATCTCAAAAATACACATGTTTTTTTAATTAAACGTTTAAATACTTTTTAATTATATGATATTTAAACAGTATAGTTAAAAAGTGAATTTATAATATACCCAAAAGTACCAAAAAAACTTACTAATTACTAATTCTTGACTTTCATATAGTTTTTGTAAATGTTGTACTTTTTCACTGAGTTTTGAAATTTCTTCTTCACTTCTTGCTCTCATATGGCTTAACCAATTTAAATTGTGGAGCTTTAACGACTAAAAAATTACAGATTTTTAAAATTATTTTAAATATTTATAAATATATTTTAATAGTTATTGTACACTAATAGTAATCAATAGCATCATTAACATTAAAATATATAAAAATCAACACGCTATAAATTAGAACACGGCGATCGAGTTATGCAATTCTGATGTTCCAATGAAAGAGAACTCAATCTCTAACCAACTTTTTGTGTGTTCTAGTGTGGTTATTTAAATTAAATTAAATAGGCAATGCAATTTTCCACCAAAAGACTTTTGAAAATTAAGAAAAGTTACTTTTAATAAAAAAATCCAAAGATTAGTGATACAACATGTGTATCCTAACTAAAAAAAGGACCAAAATGAGTATTGTAAGTGGGAAACTTTAAACTAGTAAGCCTTTTAAATTTAAATTTTGACAATATTAATATATGAAACCTAGGTACCCCTATATCCAAAGTATTTCTATGTAATCTTTCCTGTAAATACAAAGTTTAAATCTACAATCAACATATACAATATAAATGATATACTTTTCTGTTCAGATTAGCTATAAATTCTTCGTGTTCAATAGCAAGGGTATGATTCATGTTCACTCTCAACTCTGTTATTACATTACGAATAGCATTATTACTTTCATCCATTATCCTGAATAAAATATTTCAGTTAATTTAATTTTTATTTAATTTAGGTCACTTAATTTTACCTGGGATTAAAGTATTTTTGGGAAAACCTGTCGCTAGATATAACTTCAATATCTGCAATACGTTCTTGACTCAATTGACCCATTAAATTTTCTATGTCAGCAACAAATCGATCCAACTTAGCCATCTCGTGACCTAAAGACGGAGCTGGTGCCGCTTGCTCTTCACGGATGATGTCACGTTCCAGTTTCTTGTATGTTTCCACGCTACTTTCTTTTAAACTCATTCCGCTACCCTAAAAAAACAATTAGATTTAATAACAGGGTTTGTAAGTTGGTATAACATTTCGATAGCATTCAATTATCATCATGCAGGTATAAAAGTATTAAAATGAAATTTAAAATATTTGAGAAAATTTTAACTAACACTAACATGGCTTTTGTACTTTTTTTAAATGTTTACTTCAGAATCTACTAGTTTAGAACAGTGGCTAGTAAAAAAAAATTTAGAGCTATTTACATTTCAAATATAATATCTGTTTTTTTTTTTTTTATCAAATATACCTTTCAAAATAAATTTTAGGCAATGGCATTTCCGTGAATATTATGACACCTATAACTTAAAAATAACTTCAAAGATAGAAATAATTATACAAGTATTGAAATTTAAAATATCAAAATTAAAAGTAACTCAGATTCATAAAAGGTATTTATCATGAACTTATCTTCAAACACAAATAATGAAAATTTTAATAATGGTATTGTAAAATGTTCCACTTAAAGCCAAAATATATATATATTTTTTATATCCATAAATTTATAAATTGAGATATTGTCTCCATTGATTTTATAATTTTACCTTGAAAGTTCATATTAAATAACATAATTTTATGAAGGCATTGAACCCATTAATAAAAATTTGTATTCAACAAAATGGTTGCCACGAAACAAGTAAACATTTTTTCAAACTTATACGACGCAAATAATTATTGTTACTATAATTTATATGTATACAAAAACATTCTTCAATAAAAACTAATGATAACGATTAATTTTTTCAATGATTATAAATCTCCATTCATTTTGATATTAATATCTTTATTTATCACAACTTCTATTTAATCAAATTAAACTATTGAAAAATAACAAAAGCTACATTCTGATTTGTTCACTTTTAGAAATTTTACAGGTGGAATTCATTTAATTATTCGTGCTGAAACACTGTTTTATATTTTTATATACTTTATAACAATCAGGTAAAATTTCAGAAATTATGAAATCCTAAGAGACAGTTCATGAGTTTAAACAAGTAGAAGTGTTTCATTGATACATTATTTAAAAATTTGTTATTTTCTGTATCAAAATTATGATATAAAACCATTAATGTTTCAAAAAATTAACAATTCAATTTTTTATTATAAAATACAGTAAAATAAACTTTAATCTATCTGAGAATTGATAAATATAAAATCACCCAATTTAAATAAAAGAGCATAAAAAGTTTGTAACTATACTAAAATACATTTTACTATGAAAGTAACAAATTTATAGAAACAAAATAAACTATAAATTTCATGGTATACACGCAAATGCTTTTTCCTAAAAATACAAATTAAGTATACAAATGATTTACATCTTGATTTATCAGCTATTAATTACTTTTTAGTGTTATTCTTTATATTTTGTAGAGGTGTTAAATTAATTTTTTAAATGGTAACATGCATATTTAACCAACTGATTAACTGGGTTGTTAAAACATGTTTTTTAAATCTATTTAAAACATAAATAAACAATGTAAAACGTTCAAAAAGGTCACATAAGACTAATGTAAATGTTGACATTTTTAGTGTTTCAAACGTAACAACACTGTTAATAGGAAATTATCTATTCTTAATATATATATATTAACCCCTAATATTTTTACACATAATAAAACTGTAACAATTATAGTCAATAAACCCAGCAGAAATGTTTTTTTACAAATAAAATCTTCCCTTACTATTACTATAGTTAATGTATAACTGACATAAACACTTTTAAATCAAATGTATAATTTCCACTCAATCCACACTAATAAACAATTTTTTGTACCAAGCTTGACAAATAAAAAGTCCACATCAAGTAAATACTCAACATTTGTCTATCACGTATTTAAATTAAAAAATTTAATGTACATCAATATCTGATATTTTTTATTTAAACAGTTTCGTTTTTAACCACAATACATTTTAACTAATACACTCTGTGTGCCACGCCTTTAAAAAACAATTTCTGTTTATTAAAAAGAGTAGGCATTATACATTAAAACATTTATTAAAACCAAATATACAGTTGTTTATTGACTACTGAAATATAACTATTTAAATTTATGCATATAGCTTGGAAGGGGTATTAGAAAAATATTGATGTTATATTATTTCTTTAATAAATAATTACTGCTATAAAATTTTTATAATAATAATAATTTTCGACATTATTAACATGTTTTAAAGAAGGAAATGTACAAATGAAAATTATACTTACCATTTTTTTAGAAATAAAAAAAATTCTTGTTTTTACCAAATAGTTTTTATTGTCTAATGAATAGCTAAAAATATATGTCCCTCTAATTAAGCCATTAACCTCTCTTTTATACTTTTGAAGTAATAGATCGATTTTAGAACCGATCAAAGTCATTTGTTACTCAAATAATTTTCTCAAACTAATAATTTTTGTTTTTTAACACGCAAGTATTTTATGATGGCATCAATACTGCGTTTTAATTGACCTTCATACAACTTATACTAAATATTATTATTTTACATATTTGAACTTGAAATAATTGATTTTTTAAAATAATATTTTATTGTTTGCATTATTACATTTATACCCATAATTTATAAAATACATTTTTAATAATTATACATCTTTTAGATAAATGTTTAATAAATATTTAAAATTCTATAATTATTGTAATTTTCTCTGGAAAAATATTTAGAAAACACATTGAGTATAAATTAGTTGTATTGGATAGTTTTGAGAAAATTTAAGCTACACTTAAAAATGTTATCCATTGATTTACGTAGTAACATTTCGATATTTAATTTTTAAAAATACTCCATGTGTAATTCAATTTGAAATTAAATGAAAAATGATATAAACAACTGTTTTTAACAGGTTTAACAATGTCATTTATATTGACTGTAGTTTAGTAAATTAAAATTCGAGTACTAGTATGTAAAAAGATAAAAGTACTTTTAAATTTATAATATCTTGTTCAAAACATTTAGAGACTAAGCAGTTTGCCTAGCTCTCGTATCGGACTTAATAGATTAATTTTTTCATTATTGAACAAAAACTATACTTTAATGAAACACAAAAGAATTATTATTTTTTATACTAAGTTACTTATTTAAAAGTTTTGTAGATCAAAAGTTGTTTTAAAATTCACTATCTAAAACTAACAATACAATCTATTAGTACAGAATATTACCTAAGTCTAGTATGAATTTTATATTTTTTACAAATAAAATAATATCATAAACCAATACATTTTACTGATTTATTTGAACTTAGTATTTTTAATAACCAATTTTAAAAAATAATTATTAATAATTTAGATAAATACAACTTGTTAGATATTGAAAAATATAGTAATTAAACCTGGACGTAAACGAGTTAATAAGTTAAGTTAAACTTTTTAGTTTAACGGAAATATTTAGATTTTACGTTAATTTAATTTTAACTGCAATCTTCATGTAAATGATCATACGATATAATTACACTAGTTTACAAAAAATAAATATGCTTTTGAAAGACGAAATAATATAAAATTATGTAATAAATTTTTTTTTTTTGAAAAATAATACGAAATTTTTTTTATTGTAAAAAAGAAGTTTTGAAAATAACGAAATGTAGCGATTTAAAAAAAGTGTTATCAACCTATGAATAAGATTTTATTAAAACTTAGTTAAATTGATGTTATTTTTGCTAACTTACTAGTAGAATTGCAATAAATTTAACTCGTTAAATTAATGAGATTTTGCCAAATTAAATTTTAATTAAATTTACTAAATCAATAACGTATTAACTTTAACTAATAACTTAATTGTAACGAGTTAAAAATATCATTAATTTTCTTAGCGTTTAAAGTAATCATGACAACTCAGAATTGAGTACACTGGACATAAAATTTAATTTTCATTTATTTTAATTTTTTAGTTTGGTACTCAGTTATTAATTTTATGTATATAATACACAAATTTATGTAAAAAACAAAAACCTATTAATGAAGATTTAAATTCTTTGACAAACTCCTGCAATTTTTATGATAAAATTTAAATTCAATTTCTATATTACAATAAATTATATGTGTGTAGTTGAATTCATTATAATATATGTTATATGGGTTATTGATATGTATGAACATTTCAAACCGGGGTCAAAATTATTTAGGCCTACATTTTTGCATTAAAAAAACAATTTCAATTACTGATAAAATATACACTTAATTATGATGGCTATGCATTATAAAATAATGATTATATTTTATCGCACCAACGTAAATCCATCGTAATTATTATTATTTATTTAGAAATCATAAACCACTTATAAATTTATCTATAAGACTATTAGTTGGAAACGTTGAGCATCAAAAAATGAATACTTTTCTTCAACTTGAGTTTTATAAACGAATGTTATGTAAATTTAATAGAACTTAGAACATTATACATAAAATGTACAAAGTAGTAATTATATTTAAATTTTACTTTAGCCAAAATTTATTGCTCTTCATAGTTTAAGTATAATACTCTTAAACATGTATTTTTTTTTTAAATATAGTAACACAATTCTGTTAACTTAACACATATTACGTTAAAAGATTTACTATACTAATTAATTGAACAATTTCATCTGTAGTAACTATATTTAATTAATGTCAAGTAGCTACTTAATTTTTTTTCTGTCATTAATAACGTAAATAAATTAGAATTGATAATTGCGAACAAATTACTTACACTTACACTTTTTTGAGTGCTTGGGGCACATCCCATACTTTTTTGAAGTGTTCATTTACAATGTGGTGTTTTATGATGTTCTCTCCTTTCCACCCGCCATCCTCCATTGCGATACACTTTTGGTATTAGCAGAAAATAAAAAGTAGAATAAAACAACACACGAGGAAGAATAATATTGTAATTTTAGGAATCAAATTTTAACTGCATAATTTTTTTTTTTTTACTACAATACGATCACATTACGGTCAATGTGCCGATAGTCAATATTAAACAAGCGAGTAAAATACTAAAAGTATTTAGTACTCCGATTTGTATGTGTGTAGTCATAGTAACTCACGACCTTGCCAAAACATACGTAGCTTTTTTACACTTATATGAAAAATTATATATGTATTCTTGATTAATGTTGTATTTTTTAGTAGTGTCCGAAAGGCTATAAAAAATACATTTTAATACTTTTTTCCGTAAAGAGGTCAGCGTTTTCTACTTCAACTGTACATTATCTCAAGGTCTTCTATCCACTTATCCCTAAATTTCATGACCTAGAAATCCTACTTTACTAAATTATTTTTTTATGTCATAATCATTATGTCCTAAAAGTATAGTAAAAGAAAATAACTATAAATTTATTAATTTTTCATACAACTAAAGAACAAGAGCGTTTTCAAGATGATTTTTATGTCTGTTAATATTTCAATAAAAAAACATGGACATAAAATTATTGAACTATATATCAATAGATAAAAAATAAAATATTTATATTATTAACAAAATACTTTAGTTCAAATTATAAGCCCACACTACAGTGTATTAATCCGATTCGCTTCATTTTAGTATTAAAAGATTTCAAATAAAATAAAAAATTAATTGTATTTTATTTAACGTAACATTTATAAGAACCCACTAGGCCTAATTACTAAATTTTTAAATTAGGATGTATTTTGTACCAAATCTTTAACTGTTTAAAAGTTTGGCTTATTAAAAACACGCTGGAATTGTAACCCAAACTAAATAGTACTATCAGTTTTTTATCTTATAATCCGATGCTAATAAGGATATTCCACATCAGGTCTCATATTAGTAAATTTTTTAGAGGGATGGATAGGGGCACATGTTCACTCATCGACCACTCTGTGCTGATATAAAAGTGTTAGTTGACTGTTTTTATTTTACTCGTAATTATGAGTTTATTATAATCAGCATAAAATGAGTAAAAAAAAATTCATGACAGTTTGTCATGTGAAAAATGTACTACTGGTACAATATAGAGACCACTATACTGTACATATATGTGTACATATAGAGACCACTTTCAATAAATACTAAGTAAATTATCGATATATTTGACGTATATTTTTAAACATATAACTTAGTTAAAGTACATGACATAACATACCAGGAATGTATTGTTAACTAAAAAATGAGTAGACATGCGCTATTTATGAGTTACACTTTTATGGTTTTTGACTCTGAAATTGACTCTTACAGGTAATTAGCAACATTTTTGTCATTCTACTCAAAGATTGTTATTGGCATTGGCGAAATGTCAGCACTGAAATCTGTTATCTAAAGAACTTATCAGAGAATCGTATTTGATTTTAAATAAATTTACCAGTTATTTATATTGGAAAATATTAATGGTGTTCTGGAGGAAATGATTTGAACTTTGAACGGCATCTATTTGAGACTCAACCAAAAGTAATAAACCGTGAAAATTGACAAACAACAGACTGTCAACGGCATATTACAGTTTCTCAAAGTATGGCACTCTACGACAGTAAACATTGGCTGTTGTCTCACATAAGAAACTCTTTTATATCATCAGACGATACAGGTAATAGTTGACATGGTTTTTAATTTTATAAGTTACTTTATTATTTTACTTGTAACCACCAACCGTGGTGATTAGTTATGAACGTAATAGTGCATTGTACAAGTGTTGAAGAGATAAGTGCACTATACCGGTACGACTATTTGTTTAGTACAGGTAACACTGTGTGCTATCAAGATGTCTTAAGGGTGGGGCATGGTTATCTGGAGAAATTTTTTACTCAACGAAAGTTTATTCTTACACATTTGAAAAAATATATTTGAGTAATTATTAAAGAAATTGCCGTTGTGTAAAATCGTAATCAACATTATGTATTCGGAAAATTGCACGAATGTGTAATACGCCTATCAATATTCGTGAAGCGAACTTTAAATAATTTATTGAAAACGGGCGTTTTTCTTTTTATTGTGCATTTTAACTGTACCGCCCAGGTACATAATCCAACCAGTGCGAGTAAACATCAAATATTTCATTTTATAAGCATATGCAGCATTTTGTTTTTTAACTAATTATAATTTGAAAGCAACTTTTGTTGTATACATTTTAGTAAAATTTTTAACGGGTTTTTCTTTTTTTTTTATATATATTTATTTATATCATATTAGAAATTTATTTTAATTATAAAAAGTAATAATGGTGTTCAATAATGAAGTTGACTACCAGCCTTTTCAGTCATTTGTAAATGTTGATACAATTCCATTAATCATTCCTGAATGTGCAATAACAAAAAAACAGCCAACTAAAACATTTTCAGAAATTCAACATCTAATAACTAATGGACGATATAAGGAGGTAAAAAAACTTTTACGTTCCCATAATTGGCCTGCTGATAATAATATTAGGAATCAACTATGGTCTTCACTTTGCAAACAACATAATAATAATAATATGAGTGAAGGATTTTATTGGGATTTGGTAGTACAACTTTTTGGAACTAAAGAACTACCTGATAAAACTAGTGTTTTACCACCTTTTGTTGACACAAAACATAGACATGTTTATCATTTAAATGCAATGGGAAAAGAAGTCGCTGAGCGTGTTGTCTGTGTTCTTGGTTTTGCATGCCCTGATATAACCTTTAGTCCTGTAATATATTCATTGGTGTCATTATTTTTACATTATATGCCTGAAGAAGAATGTTATAACAGTGTCACTAGTTTAGTATCTTCAAAGGGGTTAGTGTTTATGACTCAAACAAAATCTTTATATGAGGTAACTTGGCGTACAGTAATGCGAATAGCTAAAAAATATGCTAATAGTGCAACTTTTCATTTAAATAAATTTTGTACAGCATCAAAAGTAGAACATATATTTGCTGAATGGATATGGTGGATTTTTCAAGGTTTGCCATTTTACCATATAGTACGAGTAATAGATTGTTATCTACATGAAGGTATTAAAGTATTATATAGAGTTGCTATAACTATACTTAAACTATTTCACAAACATTCATCCAAAAGAAACTCAATATGGGCTCAAGAAGCTTTAAATAATGGATTAGAAATTACTTTAGTAAAATTTTGTCGACAAATTCCTGTTAATCCTCAAAAATTGCTCAAAATTGCATTTAATATTAGAGCATTAAGTGCAACTTATATACATAAAATATTCTTAAAAACTGAAATGTCACTAAAATCCAAAGCAGTTGTATCAAATTCCCACCAATTAATTAGATCTCGTTCGACTGAAAATTTGCCTACAAGTCAATCTCAAGTTAATATTCAATTAATGTCTCATACTCTTAGTACTCGAGAACTTTTTACATTGTGGTCATGGCTTCCTATGCGTATAACAATGTATCAACCAATTTTATTATATACAACAGAAGAACATGGTTGTAGTTTAACAACATTCTATTTTAGAGTTGAGCAACATGAGCCTACCTTACTTATTATAAAAACATGTAATAACGATGTATTTGGGGCATACTGCTCAACAAAATGGCTCGAAAGAAATAAAAAAGATGAAAGAGGGAATAGGACAGCTTATTTTGGAACAGGAGAAACATTTCTATTTAGTCTTTATCCTGAAAGATCAAAATATCCTTGGGTAGGCATGGAAAATGATAATGTTTGTCATTCAAATGAACTTTTTATGGCTGCTGATTCCAAAATGATAACTATTGGTGGAGGTGATGGACAAGCAATATGGATGGATGAAAATATCAGATTTGGAAAAACTGATAGCTGTTCAACTTTTAATAATCCACCTCTTTGTCCCGGAAGAGATTTTGAAATTAAGGTATTAGAAGTTTATGGCTTCGGAGGTGCGATTTTATGATGAAGTGATTGTTATTTTGATATAATATTACAAGTACTATTATTTTTTAACTAATTAAAAAAATATATAAATTATTTTATGTAAATATTTATCTTTTTATGTTTTTAGGTATTAGTGAAGTGGTCATGGGCGGAGATAACATTCTTCAATCAATATCTACATCAAAATATGATACTTACCCTGGAATTGAAGATCTTGAAGAGGAAGATGATATTGCTGAATCGCTTGATATTCATACTGGTAGTTATATTTTAATATTAAAGTAATTTTAATTTCTTTATAATTTTTTTTTAATTTTAAAGAATTTGGTGTTAGACGTCAACGATCCCATACATCAGTACAATTAGAGCGATTACAGAGAAATATGATAAAATCTGCTAATGTAAGACATATTAAATGGGAACTTGCGCCTGTTTCTCTTACAGGTATACGATAATTAATTTTATACTAATACATCTTCTATCGTCAGAGTTCTATTAAAAAGTAATTAAGTTATTTAATTTTTTTGTAGTCATCATTATTTGATATAAGTTCAAAAACTCCCAAATAAGTTAACTAATCCCTTTAAAACTGATCATAATTCAATAACTATAATATAATAATTGAATTACATATATATATATATATATATATGTATAATTTTTTTTTTGTACATTATTAAATTACATCTTAAAGCTTAGGAATCACCTCTGTCCTAGTAGTTTATTTTTATTTTTTCAATTTTTATTACTCATGATTTTTAAATATATTTTATAAATCCAATTTAAACCAAAATTTTATGATCTAGTACTTTTAGTTAATATGTAAACATTATTTAAAATGTTGTAAGATTTTTTACTTTTTAACTCTATTATTAATCATACATTAAAAAAAATAATTATTTATAATTAATCCATTATTTTTAATTCTTAGAAATAAGGGTTTCATGATAGATTGAATAAAATTATCAATCAGTCAGACTTAATTATTCTATTTACAAATATAAATATTATAATTTTAAAAGAACAATTGTAATTTATAAATATAATTCCAATTTTATTTTTTTGTCCCTCTAAAACAAATAATCGATAATAAAATTAATTAATGTTATCCATTGTTATTTTAGATTAATTGAAATAATTATGCAGCCCTAGTAAACATTAATTCATCCATATTTTGTAAAATATTTTTTAAATAATATATTAATCAGTTATGAAATTATTTATAAGCTAATATAATTTTTGTAATATTATAGTTTAGTTTTTTTTTTAATAATTAATTAAAAAATGTTTAGATGAAGAAAAAGCTGAGTTATTCCCCAAAAAAGATATAAGTAACCAGAAAAAATCATATATTTCAGAATTATCTAAACAGCTGAATGCATGCCCATATCTTCCTCTAAATCCATTTCGTGAATATTCCAAGTATGATGGAAATGTATGTGTCTATACATTGTTTATATAAACATTTTTTTTTTCCAAGATATTATTTTTGTAATAAATATTTTTAGACTCAATTAGGTGAAGCTACTCGCAAATATGGTATATTTATAACTATGTTGAATTTAGAACGTCGTAATTATCCCATGCAAGTTTCTATCATTGCAACAGCCAAAGTACATCATTTAATTGGATTAGTTTGTTGGAAATGTACTATTGAGTATCCTGATTGCACTTTAAAGTAATTATTTAATAAAATTAAAATTCTAACTTCAAATGGTACATATGGGAAGAATGTTATTACAATAAAATTCATTTATTTTAGAGATAGCGTGAATTGTTATGCTCTTTATATTGCAGAAGATGATGGTGAAGTAGATTTTGATTTTCCTTGTTTAGACTCTAGAGAAACTGTTGCAAAATTTGGATTTGGATTTTTAGCAATTGTTGAAAGGGATAATAAACTAGCCCCAGCACTTTCAAATAATTCTCCTACTTCACAGTAATATACTTAATAATTCACCTTTAATTTAATTTTGTTTCATAATTATACTTATTTTTAGAGAAGGGAATTTAACTCAATGTGATAATATAAGTATAAAAGGTATGTAAATTATGTATTGTATTGAGTGTTACATTTATCATAACACAACATTCAATTACTTACAGAATAAAAATAATTATGACACTTTTTTTTTTACTTTTAGTTATATATTGTTTTTAAATTATTAGTTATGTAATACTTTTTAAGTTCAAACCTTATATGTTGTATGGGTGTCAACTTTATTTTTTCAGATGGAAACAGTTTTTATTTTTTTAACTTAATTTATTTATCACTTATAAAACTTTAAAGTTTTGATTTTTGAAGTTAAAATTCATGTATCACATATGAGACATTACAAATACAAGTAGCTAACTGCTTTTTTACTATGTTACTATTCACAGATACACAGCAGTTATTGCCAATTACAGCGATATTAAGTGATAACATCAAGGTAGTTTAAAGACACAGTGTTATAACTGAAGGCTTAAAAATAAATGTACAATCTTTTGAAAAATATGAAGTATTTTTATTTTCTATTTTATGTCCTGTACCTATAAATAGAATAGTAATAAATAAATCCATTAGCTACCAGTTATATTACATGTACAATATGTACATGTATTTTAACTAAAAAGTTAAAAACTTTAAAGTGTTATATCTAAAAAACAGATGGAGTTATATTAAAAATTCAAACGCTATTTCTTATTTAAAAAAAAACATCAAACTTTATATTAAATTCAAAATATTTGCTCCCATTAAAAAAAAAAAAAAATCAAAGTTGACATCCATACAAGATATAAGTTTTGAACTTAAAAAGTATTACATAACTAATAATTTACCCTTAAAATATACAGCTAATAATTTAAAAACAATATTTAATTAAAAAGTAACCAAATAAAATATTTTAAAATTATTTTTATTTTGTGAGTAATTGAGTGAGATATTATTTACAGATCACCTAAATAGTACAAAAAATTAATATTTAACAGTCGATTTATTGTAATTATTGTAGCTCAACAACAATTGGAAGGAGAATTAAACAAGTTACTTGCAATTGAAGCACCATTATATCAATTATACAATGTGAATATTTTAAACAAAGTTAAAGCTAAAACTGAAATTCATTTAGGTATGTTATAATGTTATAATATACTTAGAAATTAGAATAAAAGTGGTGTGAGTAAATTTTTGGGTAAAATAATTTTGACCAAAAATCAGTGACCAGAACTAAAAAGATTTCAGTTCTTCTATGATTTTTATTATATACAATAAATTCAATGACTTATATCATATTTATTTTTAGAATTTGTAGGAAAAATTATTACACAAACCAAAGATATAATTATATTAGTTTTAAATTTTCAATTGAACTTAAAATTTAAGTATGTAAAGTTTAAGAATACAAAATACAGTAGAATTCCGATAATCCGGCACGTTCGGGACCGACTCCGTGCCAGTCTATCGAGCGTTGCCCTTTCCTTTTAGTGTAGGCTTTGCTATAAGAACAATTACGTTAATAATTAAACTAAAAATACAGTATGCATATACAAAAAAGTTTGTTCTACTGTATTCTACTGTTAGATGCCGGATTATCGGACTTCTACTGTAAATATATTAAACTTGACAATTTCTATGGTATGAATAAAATTATATTATGAAGTAATATTATGCCAGTGTCATGTTATATTTTGTATTAGTCCTTATAGGAATAAAATATTTCAAATGGCACTTCTTAAAAATTGATCATTTTGTTAATTTCAAATTTAAATATATTATTATTTATTCTACAGTACTAATAATAGTTTTTTTTTTAACTAGATTTTTACCCTTCTAAAATCTATTATATATTATGTCAATAATTTTAAAGTTATAAAATATATTTATTGAATTTAATTATTTACAAAGTTTTTTTTGTCTAGGAATATCTGGTCAAAAAATTGAATTAGATCCTGTAGTAAAGCAGAGATCTTCTTCTAAATTTCCTTGGTCTAAACAGAAACCAGCAACGTATGATATGGATTGTGTAGTTGCATGTGATTTAACTGAAACGAAAAGTAACAATCGAGCTGTTTTCAGACTTGTGTATGATAGTACAGCACTTTGTTCAAGTATTGGTGACAATACTCATATACAACAGACAGCTGTATGGAGTAATTTCAAACATCATGATTTTGAAGCTGAACAAAAAATAGCTGAAGAAATTGTACAAAAAATTAATAATATTTTGGAGCTTCGGTGTAGTGTAAGAAGACAAGAATATATTTCTCTTAGAGAACGAAAATCACACAGAAGAAGAAGTTTTCATTTAGGACCTAGATAGTTCATAAAAGAAATAGATACAATTATGAAAGAAACATCGCCAAATTTTCGCTTTTGGATAAAAAAGAAATAAATACAATACCTATTAAAATATACCTAACTATATATATATATATATATATAAGCCTACATCCTAACTATTTGGAGTCTCCTCTATCTAACGATTTGACAGTACTTAAACATCGACTGTCGACGTGACGCAAGGCCATTATAGAAAAAGCCTGTAAGATGA